TCTAGGTATCTGATCACATTGAAATTCCACCCACACAGCATGACCCCTCCCATAGCCCTCTTATGTCAGCCAATTCCTCCCACAAATCCTTTCTCTCTATAGTCATTTGGCCCATAGACATTTGTAAGCACCCACACAAATCCATCCTCCTGCTATTTGAACTTCAAGGAAACTAAGTATCTTCCAATCAATTCCTCCAAGCCTTCAACCACATCCCTCTTCCACATTGTCACTATCCCCCCTGAAGCACCCCAAGATGGAGCAGCCACCCAACTGATCCCCCTGGCTTTCCAAACACTCCATGCCCAATTATTATTAAACTTCATTCTCTTAGATTCCTGTAATAGTACTATGCTTGGGTCGAACCTCTTTATTACATCTTTTATGGTCACTCTTTTCCTCGCACTTCCTAACCCCCTCACATTCCAACTTAGTATCTTCATTCTCACTTCTTTCTTAATTCCCTTCTGCCCTTCACCACTACTTTCCCCCTTTCCTTCTTTCTCCTTTTGCCCCAAACTTCTTGTCTCTCCACTTCACTCAATTTTCTCATCTTTGCTCTTCCCTCCTTCCTCTTCTATAGACCATCTTTCAGCACATTCAGATCTTCTAATCTGCATCCCAACTTCCCCACAAAAATCTGCTATCAAATCCTCTTGCTTAGATTCCCCCCCCCCCCACAACCCTTCTTACAAACTCCCCTTCAACCCTATCCTCCTCTCCTTCCCTCCTCTCCTTAGGTCCCTCCCCTCTTCTCTCCTCTCCCTCCTTCCTTCCTGTGATGTTACCTCCCACCTCCTTTGTGCACTCCACAATTTCCTTTCCAGCCCAGCCCTCCTTTCCTTCCCTCCCCTTCCCTGATCCCTCCTCTCTTCTATCCTCTCAACCCTCTCTCCATATTATATTTCCTTCCACCTCATTGAATACTTTCTCAATAATCTCCCATGCTTTCTCATTTCTTAACCTCCCTTCCCGCTCCTCTTCACTAGTTTCCAATCCCCTTCCCAAAACCGTAGAAATCTCACCTTGACTGACTGCACATACATGGTCTGCAGGACATGGATCGGGAGCGGAATCTGGAACACGGGACACAAAAGACACATTAGTAGCATAAACTAAATTCACTTGGTTACCTGGATTTGATAGAGGGGTTGGACTAGAGTTGTTCCCGGATTCCCTTTCTTGATCCAGAAGTTGGTAAAATTCTATCCTTTAGTCAACATGACGACATGTCCTCTGTACCCCTGATTCACCCCCGATTGGTGTGTTCCTGCTTTGCTTCAGAATCTTAAGTCTTGAGAATGGGCTTTTCCGTGTACTGACTTCATTCTCATCTAACTTGTGGAGTCCCGGGCTTCTTTCTTCTTCTAGTTGACCTTCCTGGCCTCCCAAATCATGCCCCCCTTTCTTCTCTAACTCACTATGAAACAACCTTGCAATGTTCCATCCTTCCATGTCACCTGCAACATAGCCGCCTTTATCATACACGCTGCCGATACTGATACTAACATATGTACTGTCATCTAATTCTTCTTCTTCATCTACACTACACATTACCCAACCTTCGTCTACCTCCTCCTTCTCTCCGTTCTCTCCCATGCGTACCTTGGGTTTGGCTTCTCTGAAAAGCATCACCTTGGGCTCCATTCCTCACTGGTGCGATGCGGGACCCACTGGAGGTTCCTTTGCTTGTGCATTTTCCGTTGCTATAGGCTATTCTCAGCACCCCTAACCATTTGGGACGATGATAGACCCAAGCTCCTGTCTATCATCCGTCCAAAGCTCTTCTCATTAGCCCGACCCACGTGACCATTTAAGTTGTCACGTTCCATCATTTCCATGTTATCAGCTTTTTTTTGGTAATAAATAAAAAAGATGATGAGGGATCATCCCAAAAAGAAAAGAAAAGAAAAAACTACTAGACTTTCATCTCCTAAGATAGGATCTAAAGAAGAAAAAAGATTACAATCAAAATATTCATTTGTGATTCCCTCAAATTCTGGAAGAAGCAAAACCCAATCCCCAAACCTCTTTCCACGTAGCAAGACAACTTGATCTCTGTGTTTCGACTGGCTATAAAAATTCTTCTCTTTCTTTTCTTCCAAATCTCCTAACAAATAGAAAAAGGGATACAACTCCAAACCATCTTTGCCTTTCTATTCCCCTCAGCAAAGACCATCTACCAAAAATTTCTTGAGGCAACCTTGGTCTCCAAAAGTCAAGGCTGAAAGGCTGACGTAACACCTACAACATACTCTAAATAACAACAATCAATAAACAAATGCATCATACTTTCCTCTTCTACTAGGCAGAGGTACATCTCCTTGCCAACTATTCCTCTTCCTTTAATATGATCTTGAATAAGAATGTTGTCTAAGGTCAGTAACCACCAGTGATTTAAAAGGCGTGCCTAGGTGCACAGGCAAGGCGCATTTTAGGGTATGTGCCTCGCCGAGGTCCTAGGCGCAGCCCTTTCAAAAGGCACATGCCTGGTGTGCCTAGGCATGCGCCTGATACGCCCTGCGCCTCAGCCCAGGCATGTGCCTTTTGAAAATTTCATGCTTTTTTGCTTTTTTTGAACCTAGCAGCTAGGTTGGGGGCTAGATTCCTGTACCATGCCCCTCGGGGCAAGCCCAAACATGGCCCAAGGGGCGTGGCACAAAGGTGGCTCATAGAATCAGGAATGTAATATGTTTTACATCACATTAGCTACTTGAAGTAATGTAACTGAGGAGAAAAAGAGATTGTGGATTTTACATGCTTGAAAATGTTTTATCTGTTTGATTTTATTTTTAAATTTTCATTTGACTACGCTTTGTGTTATGTATATGTATTTTAATTTTAGGATACTAGGTTTTTAAATTCATTTATTTTAAAATTTAAGTTAATATTTTTTTAGATAATAAGTTTTTAATATATATATATATATGTATGTATATTATTTTTGTGCCTTGCTTCAAAAAGGTGTGAGTCCCGCCTTGCGCCTCAAGCGCAAATTGGCCCCTGTGCCTTGCACTTTTAAAATACCGGTAACCACATCTAAGAGTTCAACTGTTGGCAGTACCAACCCCATCATTTATGTCCCAAGCCAACCATAGTAGCTCTTTGGATTGCCTCTTTGTTCTTCTTACCCTTCTCCATCAACACCCTATTCTCAATCTCCACCAATACCTTCATTTCCTCCAATCCTTTAAAGGACATACATAGAAATTCCCCAAAGCTTAGGAGCTTAAACACAACCCAAGATGAGATCTTGTTATCTCCTACATACCTCAATTTTACCATCTGAGTGTCATCAGCCGGCATTCGGGAGATGTCACTTCTCTCCTTGGTAAACAGAATTGCCAACAACTTAGCTGACCATTCACTAGCTTCTCCTAGCCTTAGTTCTCCTATCATAAGCTTTTTGGGCCACAATCCTGAGAAGATACCTCTGGTTCCATGTCAATTGGAACTATAGCTTGGATAGTTCTTTGCTGGGACCATCTCCTTCCTTCATCTCCTTTAGAAGCACTGCTTGGACCTGAAATTCTGGTTTTTGTCCTTCATCCTCATGGCTATTGCTACACTTGTCACCATCTCCCTTGCTCCACAACAAGAGCTCTCTTTTTTCATTGCCATCATCTAAAGCTGCAACTTCAAAATCTATCAAAGATTACCAGTTTGGCTCTCTCCTTTCCCTTTATCTCTATAGTTGACAGACTGGGCAGCCCATTTCTAATTGGGATTTTAAAGTGAACTGGGCCTTGGCTCAATCTAAACACATTTTAAAAATGGGTCTGTGCTTGCTCTTTCGGTTGGATTTAGATTTAGGTTGAGGCTTTGTCATCCCTATTCCCGATTTTTGCTTGCAACTTGTGCTTGAAGAAGAGAGGTTCATCTTTCTGTTGGTGAGATTCCACTGTACCACTACCATCCTAGATTTAGTGAGATGCCATTTCCAAGGTGGTTTGGTAGGGAGACTCTAGCCATTTCTTTTGCTTCTTCCTTTTCTCTACTACTTCATTGTTTTTTAAAAGGTAAAGTATTGTATTATAAAAATGTAAAATGTGAGGATACAACTATAGACCATGTACACCCAGGGTGTTTTGGGACATTACAGTATTTCTGTTAGAAAGCAATTAACAGGAAAATAATATATCCCTGTCAAAAAGTTTGCTATAATCCAAGTCTCTGAATTTGTTGTACACTGATAGCCAGGAGCATAGATTTCCTTTGATTGTAGACAGTGGACTTAGGAATGATAATTTGTAGCCCAGCCAGGAGCATATATCCCTGTCAAAAAGATTACTCATGAAGTTTTTATTAATGAAATCAGTTACCTTTCTCTCAAAAAGAAAAGAAATTTCTGTGCTGGGCCTGGGCCCAACAATATATATTATCTTTTTTGCTAAATTATAATGTTTTACATTATTTATATTTAATATTTTACATTTAAGGTCATAAGCCAGGTCTGGTCCGGCCTGGCCTATGATCACCCCTAGGTAGAGTTGGGAGAACAGTGATCTGTTCTCAGCTAGCACACTTAACAGAGAAGAGACAACTTTTCTCCGATCTTGATTTTCTTGCCATTTCTGTAAAACCACCATTGGAGCTGTATCCAGCTATTGCAAGTATTGCCACTTCTGTAGCTAGTCTTCATGCATACCTATGTTGCAACCTCACCTCAAGTTCTGCAAACATCTCCTAAAGTGACCTCAAGATTTATCAAGATGAAAGATGGCTACCTCATATGAAGGTTATTTACTCAACTTTTATTTAAAAACTTTTTCAAAAAAAACAATAAAGATTTATGAACAGATAAAGACCAAGTTTTCTAAAATATGCACTTTCAACAAACAGGAAATCTAAGCTAGAGTAAAAAGGAAAAATAGTTAGTAACTATGGACAAAGACTAAGGTTTTCCAAGCACTTGCAGCTTCCTTCAAATATAGTAGCACTTAAATCAGCAATTAAAACCACAAGACAAGAGTCATTAAAAATGTATACATATTAATTACCTCCTGCTCCAAACTGAAAGACAGCTTCCTATCTACCCCTATGTGTTTACCTACAAACAAGAAGTATGCTAATGATTCATGTTCTTCAAATCTTGCAACATAAAAAGTTCAACTTAAAGCCATTATTTCTTCTTACATGAGTAAGCTTCAAGCTTCCCTTTGATGGTACATTCCCCAAGATTTACATGACTTAGGAAATCATTTATGCTGAAAGAAAGAAAAAAATAGATCACTTAGTATCGAACCTAATAGCAAAAGAAACAGAAAACACATGACGTTGCTATGCCAACAGCAGTGAAGTCTTAAGCGCACTTTCACTTGAGAAATACCTGTCTAGAGGAGTGTATTCTAAGAACTTCATGTTTGACTAGAAAGTTCAAATTGCTAGACTTATCTGAATTCTGAATCTATTTCCTCTTTTATAAAAAGTGCTCTTTTAGAAATCCTACAAGGAAAAGAAAAGAACAGTCATTAACACTGAAAAGTTGCAAACTTGCAATACCTGAAGCTCATATGCTGAAGGTTCCAATCAAATATGGAAGTGGGCATATTTATTCAAATTTGAGTAAGCAATTGAATTCCCCAAGTTACCAAAATGTGTTTGCTTCCACATTTTTTTTTCACAGATAAATATAAAAATCTACATATATTCAATGCAATAAATAGTTATCTATGTTATAATTTTATTACTTGTGTTAACCATTAGTGGTCAAGATGGTCAGTTGAAAATTTTCTAGAGAGTTTAAGGTGGGTTTTGAAACCTGTTTTGGGGTAGGAACCACCATGCAAATAGATGCCCAATAAAGACATTCAAGAAGATGAGATTTTATGTTGTTATCTTCATAGTTATTGTTGCTTAGCATCCTCATCCTAATTATCATTATCATTATTGTTATTATTATTTTCTTTTCCTTACAAGTAACAATTGTGTATGATTGTTGAAGTTCATAAAATAAATAAATAAATAACTAAAACAAACTCCTCCTCCCCACCCAACACAAAAAAAGAAGGAAAAAACGAAAGGATATTAGGAGGGTCTCATAAATGCTGAAAGACTACTACTGTAGTTTGGTAAAAGCATCAATATAAAATGCTCTGTCTATTCTACAGGGAAGCAAAACAGTTAAAATTTTTTGGAGCTCCATTCTGTTTGCTGTCTGCTGGGAAGTATGGAAAGAAAGGAATAGAAGGATCTTTGAAGGAAAAGCATGCAATGAAATGAAGATGTGCTCAATGATTGGATAAAGAATTATGGATTGGATGCTTATCTTACCAGATTTCAGAGATGTTTCAAGAAATTTTCTTGAAGAAAAGTTTTGGGAAACACTTGAATTTCAAGGGTCTAACGGATAAGTTTGTACTGATGTAAAAGTTTGAAAAAGTTGAATTTAGCTTGTTTTCTTCTCTTTCTTTTGAGTAATTTCTCATCACCTTTTGTACTCTTGATTAGGGGTGGATTGGAGCCAAGCTGAGCCAAATATCTGGTTATTCAAGCTTGGCTCACCAAAAAAAAAATGAGGCTCAAGCACGAGCTAGGGACTTGAGCTCAAATTCAGCTCAACCCAAAAGCTCATACTTTTGAGCTTGGCTCGGCTCGAGCTCGCCTGTGACACAAGCTTCTTATAAAAAAATTATTTTTTATTTTACATACAAAAAATTATAAAAATTATTTATTATCACACATATAAAAAATAAAAATATTATATATATATATAAGCTCAATTAGGCTCACAAATCTCACGAGCCAAACTTCATTAGGCTAGAGCGATTAGCAATGAGTCTATATATTGGGCTTGAACTTGACTCGAAGCTTAGTTTAGACTGGACGGAATTGAGCTTTTCACGAGCTGAGCTCGAATAGCTCATGAAAAGCTTGATTCGTGTCCACCCCAACTCTTGATGCATTCCTTTTATCTTCTCAATGAATTTTCTGTTTCATTTACTACCAAAAAAATCAACATAAAATGCCCTACCATCAAATAAATTAACAACATTTCAGGAATTTTAAGGTGAAAATATTGCAAGATATGTCAATTTTAAACCATGTTCATATTGAAGCAATGAATTGAGATTTAGACTTGAAGGACTTAGCTCTTTTATGGCCTCATGGTGACTCTTAAAACTTTAAAGAGTGGGATGGATATGATCAGCTCTTGTTTATTCAAATCTTGAATTGGATTTTAAGGAAAGACCTTTAAAATTCTGATTTTATATATACTATGTACCAACTGCCAGCCCACTTTCCTTCATTTATTTTGGTTTCTCCTAAACATAGTTGTAAAAGTGGAAAGGAAATACAAGATATTGTCAGGACAAAAATGACAAAATCTTCATACAAAGTAGGAGAAGATGTCCCCACTTTATATGAGAGAGAATCAAGGTGTAGAAGGAATGTGGTGAAAATTTTGCATCAGTCTTTTAGATGCAAAATTTGCACTTCCAATGAATGCAAATGAGACAAAATGTAAACTTGCATCAGGTAAGAGTGCAAATCATAGAGTTCATAGTTGCAGACAAACGAAGTGCAAAATTTTAATCTGATTCAGACTTTGCAATTGCAAACAAACAGAACCCAAAAAAAGGATGAAGCAAAGTCTTCAAGAAAGCACTTTTATCAGAAGAAAGTGGGCAAGGGATGGTGCCAATAGGCTCAGTTGGTAAGGTCTCTGGTTGGTTGTAGCAGACTCAGACACTTGGAATCAAATCCGGCTGGGGGGGTTATGGGTAGGGGACGGATTATACCACATTGTGTAGTTCCATGAAGCAAAAGAATCAGAGAGAGAGTAGGTAAGGAAAGAAAAATGCTACAGAGCTTGAAGATAATAGTAAGACCATGATCAGTAATCTTTAACCTTCAGATGTCATGTCTTACATTAGTACTCTCAACCTTACTCCTCTTCATCACAAACCACTATACTATTCTAGACATTAATTCTGGATGTTGTAACTAGAGCCCCTCATAGAATCTCAATCATCAATTTATAACCAAGAGTAATTTGGAAACCATCAATTTTTCAACAGCTTGATCAACTCTATGAATCAAGGGAGGATCAGTCATTTCATTCTCATTCCAGTGTTCCTATCCCTCCTCCTTTACCTCCTCGTCCTCTTTTTAATCCCAAGTTGTACCAACAGCAAAGAACCAGAAATGAGCAGATTGTTTCCCCTACTACACATGAGCCTCCTGCACTTCCAATCACAAAAGAGACAACAGGTACTGATCCCTTTGGAGTCATCCTTCCCAGACCTTGATATCCCCATTGTTATTAAGAAAGGAAAAAGGAAGTGTACTGCACATTGCATTTCCAAACACATTTCTTATAGTTTGCTCTCTCCTTCATATTCTGCCTACCTTTCTTCTGTTGCTTCTAACCCAATTCCCAAGTCTGTGTCAAAAGCTCTTACTATTCCAGAATGGAGGGATGCTATGAGAACAGAAATTGATGCCCTACACAACAAATGACACTTGGGAAGTGGTTGATTTGCCTGAAATGAAGGATCCAATAGGCTGTAAGTGGGTCTTTACTATCAAATATCATGTTGATGGTACCATTGAAAGGTAAAAAGCTAGGCTGGTTGCAAAAGGTTATAAATAGACATATGGGATTGATTATTTGGAGACCTTTGCTCCTATTGCCAAGATGACTTCTGTGAGAGTTGTGTTATCTCTTGTTGCACACTCAAACTGGACACTTTATCAGTTGGATGTAAAGAATGCATTTCTGAATGGAAAGTTACATGAGGAGGTCTATATGTCTCCTCCTCCAGGGATGTATGAAACAGATATGAAAGGTAAAGTCTGTAGGCTGAAGAAATCTCTTTATGAACTTAAACAGTCCCCTAGAACATGGTTTGAAAGGTTTAGGGCTGCCCTTATTAGCTTTGGCTATGTACAGACACAATCTGATCATACCCTCTTTGTGAAGAGGAGAGAATCCTTGGTCGTTTACCTGATTGTGTATGTTGATGATATTGTTGTGACTGKTAATGATGTATCAGGGATTAATGATCTCAAATCTTTCCTTCATACAGAGTTTGAGATCAAAGATTTGGGGGAATTGAGATACTTTCTTGGCATAGAAGTTACTAGATCCAAGGATGGGATACTTATCTCTCAGAGAAAGTATGTACTTGATTTGCTCTCTGAAACAAGGAAGATGGGTGCTAAACCAATTGCTATTCCTATTGATATGAGTCATAGACTCTCGGCTTCAAATGGAATATTGTTGAAAGATAAGGGAGTCTTCCAGAGACTACTTGAAAAACTTCTCTATCTATGCATGACTCAGCCAGATATTGCATATGCTGTCAGTTGCATTAGTCAGTTCATACATGCTCCCAAGGATACTCACACGGCAGTAGCAAAGCGGGTTCTGTGTTATTTGAAGGGTTCCCCTAGAAAGGGAATTCTATTTGCTAAGCATGGCTATATGAAACTTGAAGCCTACACAGATGCCGATTGGGTAGGAAACACTGATGACAGAAGATCTACCTCTGGGTACTGTAGCTTGGTGGTAGGTAATATTGTCTCTTGGAGAAGCAAAAAACAATCAGTTGTTGCCCGATCTTCAGCCAAAGCAGAATACAGAGCCATGGCTCATGGAGTTTCTAAACTACTGTGGCTTAGATCCTTGACGGAGGAACTGGGTATTGAGCACGATAAGCCAATGATGTTATAATGTGATAATTAGGCTGCCATCAACATTGCTCACAATCTAGTGCAACATGACAGAACTAAACATATTGAATTTGATAGACACTTCATTCGAGAAAGAGTGGCTTCTGGAGAAGTGTGTCTACCTTTCATCACTTCTAAAGGACAGTTAGCTTATTTCCTCACCAAGGGCATTCCCAAGGCTAAACTTCAGCATGATACTGGCAAGCTTGGCATGATTGACATCTATGCTCAGCTTGAGAGGGAGTGTAGAGAAGATGGGCCGAATGGCCCATAGGCTGTTTATCCTTCTTTATTTTTTATGCTATTTGATGTAATGGGCCTTAATTTGGGCTTTATTCTTTCTTGTGTTATGTTTTTTAATTTTTTGCCCAACTAGGGGCCTCTCTGTAAATTATTAAAGTTTAACTAAATGAAATGGAATTATGGGTGTAAGAGAGAAGCTTATGTTCGAAAATCTCTCTCTCTGAACCCTAGTTGTCGCCACCTTCTTCTTCTTCTTCTCTCTACTTGAAACCTTATTTCTACTACTTTCTTTTGATTTTCTACGACTTTTTAAACAGTCCTTTCTTTTCAAAAGGTTGTTTTTCTTCTAGGTCTAAGTATGATTACAAGAAGTTTAAGCAACACATCCTTGCAACTTGCAAGCCATATATGAACTTGATTGCATGTTGCAATTGCACAGTTGGAGACTTCAAGTGTTAAACCTCCAACCTTGTCTAAAGCCTCACAAAGTGTTGAGGTATGAATCTACTACAAATAAGAGTTGTACATCAGGCTATGAAACCCAATCAGGTGTAAACATGTCAGTGTTGTTACCAGATGTACCAACAACTGATTTATTTGCTCCTCAGTGGGTATTGTAGCCTATTGTACATGTCTTGTTTGTAGCAGATCCAGAGTCTATCAACACACTCATTGCTTTATTATAAAAGTTCAAATAAACAAATCTAGCTAAAACAGATTCACCAAGAAGGTTTTGTTTTACTAGACATGCCAAAACCAGATGAGCCACAAACTGAAAGCACAATTGGCTAGTACCCTGTTTATCAATTTTGAGACAAGAATCTAGCTAGTCCATTGGGGGCCATTGCTTTTTGTAATGATAAAATCTCAGGCTGACAAGCTGACAAGCATCAAAATGCAGGTTCAAGTATTAGAGCAGCCAACCATATCCAGTCCATCCCTCCCAAGACCCCAGATAGTCGGGACCAACATTGGTAATAGCCTTTAATCTAGCTAGTTATCATTATGCATCAAGAACACAAGAAAATAGATCATTTTTATTTTAAAATGGAACATAATTTAGAATATAACCTCTGTTTGATTTGTTATTAGATCAACTTGAAAACAGGTGAGCATCAATGTATCAAAAAAAAAAAAACAAAAAAGAAAAGAAAACAGTTGAGCATCACAACCTTTTACTTAATTATCATCTAAATCATGATCCGAAGTTCTGTTGTCCAGCCTACTTTGTTGGGAAAACCATGGTTAAGTTTCAATCTAACATGCTGAGGGGCGAGGGCTTTGTGGGCCTGTTTCCAGCTTGTTTAGAGCCCACTTCAGCCACTGATTAGTTGGTGTTTGGGTGGGTCCTGCATTCAAGACTATTTAGTTTTGAGATTAAATAAACACTATGCCATTAATGGATCTGATCATGATCTGAGTTGCTCTAAAAATATGATCTCATTAGCCAGAAATAAATCCTAATAAGGCTAAATTCAGGATCAACCCCAATTCTATCCCATAAAGATCCAACTCTAAAATATTACTCTACGTAGAGAGACATTTAGATATAGTTAACATATACTTGTTGGCTAAGATACTAAACTTTTAACTGAAAAGACCAATAAAAATTTTTGAACATAGAAAGGTTGAGTTAAATCTCTTAAAGGTTCTTTCAGTTGATTTTGTTGAGGATTTATAAAATCTAAATATAATCCGAGTCCAATCCAAACACGATGAATAGGATCCAAACTCAAATCTGGATACTCTACATGCATAATCTACCAAATCCTGATCTAGGTATATGAGGTTCAATCCCAAACCCTTGACAGACCTAGTGGCATATATAAGCAAGCATTATGAGTTGAGCCTTAAATACATCCAATTTTTATATATCATATTTGAGGATGAAGGTTGAATTGAAATTATGCTATTAGTTTTATCACAAGTGTAAAATGTTTAGTGAGGAAGGCACTGCAAAGGAGGAACCAAATGCTATTTTATTTTAGATAGTTGCATGGTAAAATGCAAAAGTAATACTGTGCAACAGATTCTTGTTCACTTGTCCAATATGCCTTCAAATGATACAAGTCATGCAACTTGAGAAATGTAGCATGGACACCAAGAACATTTTCTGGACTGTAATCTCATAAACAAAACATTGATATGTTATGCCTCTAAACATCATAATCTTTTTTATTTATTAACTTATTTATTGTTTTTTTTTCATGAAAAGTAACATGAACATGAATTCATTGAATACAGGGGAAAAGAGACCTCAATTGGAAGTTCACAGTTTATTTATAACCAGAATTTAAACCAACCTATACACATCAAAAATTACCTTCAAATAGATAGAATACCAACCCCAAAAGGCAGGCATTCACATATCTAAATTCACCCATCAAAGATGTACATTCGATAATCAGTATTTTGCTTTTTTTCTACTTCAAAGAGTGATTCTTGTTGAATAACAATTAAGAAAAGAAAAGGGAAAGAAAGTTATCTCGATAGGGAGTTGACTCCTCCAAAAGCATTTATTGAAAATGTTTCAGACAGCACTTCTTTCCTTCCTCCTCTTGAATTGTCCATCCCCTCTTTTTTCTTTTTTCTTTTTTTTTTTATCAACGTTCATTCCCTCATAAATTCTAACCATCTCCAAACATGCTAACAACTAAAAAGCAGCCCCACATCCGCAATTATCAAGGTTCCTTCTAATCTTGGAGCTCAACAATGTCATGCACCATAACTTCCAAATAATCTTCTTCTTTTGTAAGAAAATAATCAATTATTCAAAACTCTTTAACGGAAGCAACATTTTGAAGTCCAAGAACCGCACGATATAAGATGAAACTCCATATAATATATCTTTCTAAAACTTACCCCACCCTCTTTACCGATCAAAGAATGTACCTGTATTACGGATTCATCTCCCGTTTCAGGATCCCCCTAAAGACATGTACCATAAGAAATCCCCATATCAAGAAGAGTATCCCACTTCATCCCAGTCTCCCATATTGCACTAATTTCTAACATATTATTCGTTATATCGGTACAAATGTTATCGCAGTGAGCTGTTAGATGAAAGGTGCCCTTTTAGTAGTTTTCTTCTAAGCTATTTTCAAACTTGCAAGGAGAAAATTAAAAGGAATAATGCAGTTCATAGCTACTAGCAAGACAAAACCATTGCAAACCTAAAGGAACTTATCTTCCCATGGGGAAAAAATCAGAATCTATTTCTGGAATTACATTTTGCATTTTTTGCATTATCTTTTATCATCTTCAAAAGAAGCTTTTAAGTCTTATCAGAAAGCATCTATGTGATTCAACAAACCAGATGAATGATAGAACATAAAGAAGAGACAAAAATGCTGGATTTGAAATTGTACCTTGATCTTCATATTGTTTTTCAAACCATGTAACCTCGATCATCCGCCGGAACCAGAAATTTTCAAGGGCTTGAAATGCCACTGGAACCCAAGCAGAAATGAATCTAACGACGAATAAACAGAAAAGAAAGAACACTGCAATTATGCAAATGGATAAGCTAGGGGAATCAAAAATCCGGAGATTCGAAAAGATTCGCTAAAGTACGGCTACTGGTTCGTAATTGACGCTTGGAAATAGGTGAGGTCTCAGGTTGGTGTATGTGTCGTTAAGTGTGGCCACAAGAAAGAAAAAGACAAAAAGCGATCTTAAGGTTGTCTGTTCTCTACTGTTACTCCAGTTTCGACACTTGTATGCACATCTACCGCACGTTTCTTGTGCTAGTCCGGATCTGGTCCTCACTCCTCACACCAACTTCATAGCTTATCCTGGCCGCACATCTCAGACATCTTCCGTACTTATTTTTATTTTTCGGAGATGTTCCCAATGAAATCGGTGTGAGGAGCAGATCCAATTCTTTCTTTGTGCGCGTGGTTAACGTGAACGAAAGATAGTGTAAAAGTAGATCCGACAAGGACTCGAACCAACTCGCGAACCAACGAAAGATAGTGTAAAAGTAGATTCAAACCAACGTTTTCAAATTGGTGTTGATCGACGGTTGAACAATTCAAATCGTTAGAACCGAAGGGTTGAACTCATGTTTTTGGTAAAAAAATCATTGGTTGACCAATTGATCAAATAGTTGAATCATCGATTCATTTGACTTTGACCCGTGATTTGTGAATCAATTCTAAGCTGAATATTTAGGATTATGGTCTAGCCTTCGTAACCCAACTCGAAATGATCCAAAAATGCCTTTGACCCAACTTTATCCTAACCCATCCTAACTCGAACCAATTGACAAGTCTAGGTAAAAGACTTATGTGATGTTTGGCATTCATGATGATTCTTCTTTATTGATTTTTTAAATTAGTGTTTTTTTTTTAATTGGTAAATTTTGTTATTTGGTCTCATTTCTGCCATGTAAGCCAATTTATTATTTTTGTCTTAAGGTTATGGGTTAATTACTTATATATACCCTGTATTTGCAAAACTACTTAAATGTACCTTAAACTTTCAAAATCTAATGGAAGGAGTGCTCTAGCTTTCAACTGTTAAGGAGGTAAAATAGGTTGGAGGACTAGAAGAGAGAACCAAATCAGGTTTTTCTCGGAGGGATGTCAATGACATCAGGTGATTAGGAAAAAAGGAGAAAGGCGAGTTGGGAAAGACTAGGATGGGGATGATTTTAAGACGGAATTGAAGATTTGGCGAATGAAAAATGTAAGGATAGCGTTTTTGGCAAGGTACTGTCAGATAAGAAGCTTAATGTCAAAGGAACGCTGGAGAGAGTAGAAAACCTAATGAAAGTGGAACAGGGATATAGGATTAAAATGTTGAAGGGGTACTCTTTGGTTCCTTTCAAAGATGAAGAATATAAGAGTTCCTAAATAAGGAACCATGGCTTGTAAGGGAGTATCTGCTACTTTTGAAAGAATGGGAACTAGGAATGGACAACACAACATGGATAACCAACAAAATAAACTTCTAAATAAGGATATTTGAACTATCGGTGGAATCAATGACGAGAGCCATCAAAGAACACCTAGGTGAATAGGTTGGAAAAGTGATCAGAAGTATTAGTAGACACAGAGTAAAAGACAACACCCACCTTGCAAGATTATTTCTAAGGGTGTGGGTGGAGGTTGATATTTTCAAGTCATTAGTTTGTGTTGTTTGCCAAAGACTCGCAACTAGAGAAAATAGATGGTATCTAATTCAACATGAGAGACTTTCGATGTTCTGTTACAAGTGTGGAAGAATCAACCATCAACAAGCAAACTATGAACAATTTTGGGGGACCAATTTGGTAAATCAAGTAATTAGTCTGTTGAATTCCCAAAGAGTAGAAATCAGAGTGACGTTCAAAGGATTTGGCCCTTGGTTTAAAGCAAAGATTGGAGGGAATGATAAAAAGTTCATTAGTAACAAGGAAACAACATCCACATATAGCACCAGTATGCTAGAGTTCAATAGCAAAGCAAAACCAAAGGGATCAACTACAAAAAGCGAGTGACATCTTGATTGGAAAAGAAGGGCTATGCTCAGCATCAACTCTTTTCCAGGGAGACATGCATCGACTAGCCCCATTAGAACTGGGTTGCAGGTAGGCACAAGATTTGAGGTGGTTCTGTCGCCAGTCAAACAAATGACCCAAAAAGTCGGGATATAGGTAGGTAAGCCTACGTGGCAAACTGAAGCACACTTACCAAATAGGCAAACTCAAACTTTCACGGCGATGATTGAAGAAAGTAATCATGGAATAAGACAAAATGAGAGGATTGAAGAAATAGGAGAGGATGGCAACCGGTTTGAAAAGATAGACTCATCGAGTGGAAGGGGAGAGTCTCGAGAATGGAAGTCAGAAAATTTACAAAGGAAAAAGAAGTTGAAGCGACAAACAAATCCATAGAGAAAGATTTGAATACTCACCTAATAGGGTAGTAGAGTATGCAACAATATCAAAGTCAAACACAAAAAAAAAATAAGGATCAAGGGGTCACAAAAGATCTCAGCAGGTCTCTTCGAGCTCAAGTAGGTTAGAAAGTCCAACTAAATAAAAAAAAACAATAAAGAGAAGTGTTTCGGTTTTGAATGAGATTGATGTTATCTCAGATTCACAAACACCTATTGGAGTTCGAGAAGCGAAGAAGGTGAAAGTCCAAATATTACAAGAACAACTTTTGGAGGGTGAAGGCTGGAAAGGAACAAGTGTGCCAACAGAAGAAGTAATTAAATGTGGAACATTAGAGTAACATGGAGATGGATGCAAAACAGTTCGAGCCTACCCAAACTGGAAACAAGATTTTTTTTTTTTTGAGAAATGGAAGCATGGGAGCTAAACTTTCTAAATTTTGTCTTTTACTCAATATATATTATTTATGAATAAATCCTGGCATTAGAATAAATTAAGCCTAAAGATTGATTATTTTGCAAGACATCAAATGAGGCACATAAAATATATATTTAGGCAAAAAGTCACAAGAACATTGTTAAAAAAAAATAGAGAGAAGAAAAAGAAATAGAATATTGTCCTAGTACAATAGAAGAAAAAAAGAGGAAGGAATACTATTTAAAAAAAAACAAAAAAGAAAGAAAATAATAAAGGTGGAAGGAAAAGCCTAAATAGAGTTGGAAGGAACTAGAGAAAGGTACCTATCTAGGTGGTTGCCCTCTTTCAGCCCCCAAAGGATCAATGCTAATCCTTAGTTGGAACTGTTAGGGGTTAGGCTCTCCCCTGACAGTTCGGACCCTTAAAAGAGTTTACAATGAGGTCAAACCAAATGTAATTTTTTTAGTGGAAACAAAACGTTTTCTCTTATCCTGCAAAGGGAAATTAGGATGGATTCGTGATTAGGACTATTGGGGAGTTGATGCGGCTAGATTATCAGCGGGCCTAATAGTGTTTTGGAACCAGGATCTAGAGGTAAAAGTGAAATTAGCAAATGAGAGATTGATCACAATAGAATTAAAAGAAGGAAAAGATCCTTGGGTGGTTTCTTTTGTTTATTGTGAACCAAATAAAAAGAAAAAGGAAGAATTTATAGATAGGTGGTAGAAGACTGCAGCATTGGTGAATAGACTATTAGGAGATTTTAATATGGTATTTAGAAGAGAAGACAAAAGTGGAGGTAAGCCAATTTCTACCAAGTTGTTGAGGAAACATAGACAATTATTAAGCAATTTGGGGCTGAAGATAGTGACTAGTCATGGTCTTAAGTTTGCTTGGAAGAATAAAAGAGAAGGCATTAAGAATATTAAAGAAAACATTGATTTGTTTATGGCTAATAGAGAGTGACTTGGGCTTTTCTAGGAGGCAATGAATTTATCAACAGCTGATCACATTCTAATTCTCTTGGATACCTCCCCTCAAATGGATAAGATAAAAAGGCCTTTTAGGTTTGAGAATATTTCGAGTACGCATGAGGATTGTGGGAAGTTAATAAAAGAGGTCTGAATGTCTAGTGTAGATAATATGAGCCAATCAACAATCACTAGAAATTGCAGAATCTTGAAATCAGAATTGTTGAAATGGAACAAGGTCTTTGGGAAAGTCCAGGACAAAATAAAAGTGGTCCAATTAGAGCTGAGTATACAAAGAAATCAGCTTGGAAGCTCCTTCAATAAATCCATAGTGAGTGATTTAGAGAAGCAATTGAGTAAAGAATTAAAGAGAGAAGAAATGTTGTGGTTCCAAAAGTCTCGGTAAACTTGGTTGACCCTTAGAGATAAAAATACTAAAATTTACCATTAAGCAACAATGAGAAGAAGAGAAATAAATCGTATTATGGCATTGCAAGATGATAGGGGAAATTTGGTTTCGGGCAAAAATCAAATCTTAAAACTCTTAGTGAGTCACTTTGAAAAGCCATTCAAGTCATCCAATCCTAGGGATGAAAACAAACTATTAGAGTTGGTTTTCCCAAAGATAACTGATGAAGATAGTCAGGGTTTGAAAAGTGAGGTTAAGGATGATGAAATAAGATCAGTTTTTTTCAAACGAACCCCTACAAAGCACTAGGACCTGATGGCTTCCCCAATTATTTCTTTCAAAAATATTTGAAATTTCTGGGTGAGAGTATAGTGGCAGTGAAGGATTTGTTTAGAAATGGAATAATGAATAGAGATAAATAAATCCTTTATAGCCTTAATTCCTAAATGCAAGAACCTAGAGAATGCAAATCATTTTTGGCCTATAAGCTTATGCAATTCCATATACAAAATAATCTCTAAAATCCTAGTCAACAGAATGAAGCCTCTTCTCCCTAAAATAATTAGCTTGAATCAGAATGCCTTTGTTCCTCGAAGAATGATCTTTGATAATGTCCTAATCTCTCATGAAATTCTGCACTTTATGAAAATTCAAAAAAGGCAGAATTTTATGGCTCTAAAGTTGAATATCAACAAGACATATGATAGAATTGAATGGGGTTTTGTTGAAAATGTCTTAAAAAAAGTGGGGGGAATCAAATTCTCAAAAGAAAATCAACTGGGTAAGTTAGGATTAGACCTGTTCATGGGCTGGGTAGCCCGATGGCCCGACCCGGCCTAGCCCGCACCCCGGTTGGGCTTGGTCATGTAATTAGGCCCATGGGCCTGATCTCGGGCCTAACACAGTAAGCCCAACTATGTTTCAGGCCAGGCTCGGGATTTGTCAAA